AAATAATAAACTCACTGGATGTATTATTCATTTTGTCTAAAGCTTTAAATACTGCTGCTCACTGGGGACAGCCAATAGCTGCTACAGGCCAGAGTTAATGGAGCATCAGCTGGTTCTGCTATGACCCAGAAGTTTGAATCTTTTAGCAGGAAATTGTAACGGCAAAGGATTTCAACTAGAGAAAATATCTTTGTCCGTTCTGTACCTCAGTTTGAACCGTTTTCCATTTTTGTTTTATTAAAACAGATGGTATAAAATGTTTGTACATGTATAGATAATTTGGCACTATTACCATTCTTTTGAACTGACAGTTTACATATTCCTTTCCAATCGACAGCCGGACTGTTGTTCTGAGTTTTAGGTTAGGAATCAAATGTAAACAGAGCCACTATGTGATGTCCCTATTTTGAGATTTGCAGCCTCAGTCAGCAACTATCAGGTTGCCAATGATGTGGACAGCAGTCGGTTTACATTTTTGGATGCAATATTTCCTGTCACAGCAGCAGGTCTGCTGTAAACCGAGTCCACACCTCGACAGCTACACGAAAACAAGCGGAGCGCCGTAAACAGAGGAGACCCCTCCACCTGCTGCGACAGTGTCTGCCCGTCCTTAAGAGATTTTAAATTAACGAATCTAAAATTTAGGCCTCAATATGTCTTAAATTATTTTTAAAAAAGCAAGTTTGCATTAAACACATTAGTCTCAAATTTAGTTTTTCTTTTGCCTTTCTCGTGGTACTTTTCTGTCTGGAAAATGTTTGAATAGTGCGCAGACGCTGTCGTTGCGTTTTTGATGCGGTCGAGGCTACCGCTGGCTGCTAATGTCTATGGCTAATATACCCTTGCTAGCTAGCTAGCTAACTTTACAAAGTCCATCGCAGGTAAGAACAAATTTATCAGCATTAGGTTGGACAACATTCGTCTTCACCACTGGTCTCCTGTTGATTAAAAGGAATGGCAATTAATCTCATAATCTTGAGTAAGAATCTGAAAATCTCTCATGGTTAATCTCACAAGGAGTACCATTTCTTCCTCCATAGTTTTTCATTCTTACACACACACACATACATCCATATATAATGTCGTTCATAACGGTCTTAAAAAAGTCTGTGTTGAATTTGGAAGTCCGATGCGGATCATTTTCACCTTGTTGCTCCGATGTCATCCTCTCCACTGTGTGGGCGTTTGGCTCCGTCATGTGTTTTGTGATGAAGTAGCTGCATAAAAGTGGGGTGGAGAGTGGGAACGGAGAGCTCTTCATCAATCTTGTGCATTCAAAGAACCATCTTGAACGTACCAAATACGCGGCCTCTCCATTTGGAGCAGAACCGCGCATCCCAAACAGGCCAGGTGATGAAAACTGTGGAGCCTGCAGGAGAAGGAGAGGCCTCTGTGATCTCACTTTGCAAATACCAGGCGCTGTCTTTATCAGATGATGAAGAAATATGTTTCTTTATCATCTGATTTAAGTAAAGAGCTACAATACCTTGCATTAGTGTTCGCTCTCTCATGTAACAACCACAAAATGTATTTAAAAAATAATAAAATTAGGTAATAGATCAACAAAATGTGATATATAATTTTGAAGTGGAAGGATTTGTTTTTCCACTAGTTTGTTTGCAGCGTTTGCAGCAGCTGCCGTGCTTTTTATCAGCTTGGCCGCTGCTTTCCATAACAAACTGCAAACAAGACTTTTAATGACTTTTTCTTTCTTCTTGCCTTTGTTCCAAACTGGCTTAAGGAGCTGCTTCTCTGATTAATGCTCTCTGTCCTTGGCCAGTCGTCTCAGTGAGATGATTAAAGTTTCATAATCTAACCTGGTTTTATACTTTTTCCCAACTTTCTCCCCGAGCTGTCTGTTTGTTCACTAAGGTCAAATGTAAAAGCACTTTGAATTGCCTTGTTGCTGAAAATGTGCTATATAAATAAAATTATCTTAATGTCCTAGAGTCCTTCACAGAAAAGCTGGATTTATGCTGAGACTAAGTTCACACATATGTACTTATTGATTAACCTGATGGTAACCAAGGGTAGGAAAAATAGAAACCACTTTCACTTCACGATTTTGCAATACTTTGTGTTGATGGCCTCAATAAAGTAAAATCAATACTTTTGCAAAGCTTTATCCGTCTAAATACCGAATTTACATGCACAGCAGTGTTGGGTGTTTATGGGAGAGAAATCTCTTGACAAAACATTGACATGTGCTCCGTCCTCCTCCTGGCGGTTGGCTGTCTGTTATCTTCCCTCTGCTGGTGTGTTGTGAGCCGACGGAGGCCATCATGAACTCCCCCTGCAGACGTTTAGAGCTCTTGCTTTGTAGCCCTGCTTCCCATCTCTCTTTTTAACACGTGTCTTTTTATCTTTGTGAGTTTGAATTCCAAATTACTCCTCTTTCATGTGCTCCACTTCAGATGGAGCTGAAGGGATTTCATAGCGTAGCCTCCTTAAGCTTTTGCATACCTGAGTGGACGCGTTCTGCAGTGGTTTTGCCGTAAATATCGTCCTGTGACATTTAGATGTTTTTCTTCTGAGAAGATCTGATCGTGGCCTTTGTTGTGATTCGCAAGTATAGCTTTATGCTTCCTGTGATATCTTTGGAAGACATATAATGCCGTTTCACCGCATGTTACAGCTATTTTCCTGCCACTACTTACTACAGAGGTTTGCCATTACACACTGTCTGATGGCCCTGAGTCAGGAACGCTTCGATTTGAGCCATTAAATTGATGGAAGAGTTTCTTTTTCAGCGTTCTCGCAGTCAACACAGAGCCAGATTGTGCCTGCGCTCCTGCACTGTGCAGTAACACTCTGCTCGGCGTTGTGTGCTTCCCGTTATTCCTCTCTCTTTTTCTCTTACTTGGCTGTCACCTCCGAGGCAATCTGCTGTTTGGCAGTTTAAACAGCTAACAAGTGGACCACACTGAAAAAACTGCCAAGAGAAAAGAACAAGTCAGTTCTTTGATCACGAGCGAAACAGTATTTTTTTTTTCTTTTCTCAGACAGGCCCCTAAACTCTTTGTACTGTTTGGCTGCAGGTTTTAAGTGAAGCAGCTTCAGGAGGGATGTAAGCGCACAGAGTAACAGGACTTGGTAACTTATCAGCTTCAGTGGCTAATTGGGATCAACCAACAGAAGTGCTTTCACATGAACAAGGCTAATTAAACACAGTTTTGATTAGCCTCCTAAAGACACCGTTTTAGATCATTTTGGTCCAGAAGCATTTTGCCTTCAGGACGAGAGAAAACACAGCAGAGACGTGACAGGATATCAGATGTTGTTCTATCAGATTGGAAGATTTTTGCATCACTTTGGAAGTGAAAACCCCAAAGACTCGGCCGCCAGTAGAAGAATGTCTGTAACGCTAAATGATGCATTTCTCTGTGTGTGTGTGTGTGTGTGTGTGTGGGTGTGTTTTATTGAACACGTCAAGTTGCAATTAAAATGACAGCAATGCAAACAATAAACATTCAAAGAAGTGGGTAGAAGTGTAAACCTATTAAAACCCAACCCTTCTCCAGCAACATCACAAAATCTCATCCTAATTGTAAGTATTGTATGAAAATACCTTCATTCTACTCTCAGGTTCTTGCTTAATGCAATGCATTCAATAATTTACAAATAAAAACTCTAATAACAACAAAGTAATCATAATGTTGAGGCTAACAGTGCTTTGCAACAACAACAACATGATAATACGTCAAGACAGTTTCTCATATTTAGTGTAAACCATTTCCTGATTTGAATTGGTTAATGTTTGGACATTATTTTAGTTCCATAGTTTTACATACACCACAGACTAGAACATAAAAACTCCTTGTGGTTCTGATCTTACAAACTTTAAATTTTTCTTCCCCTCAGAAAGGATAAAATCCTTCTTCTTTTGAGAAAAATTTTTTTTTTTTTTTTTTTTTCTGGCAACTGTTGATTTTGTGCTTTAAATAAGATGTACGCTGTTTGTAAACTCACCAAATCAGTAAGTTTTAATAATTCCTCTGAATTCAGACGTTAACACATTCAGGACGATCTGGAATAATACCTGTATTGCATTTTCACTCCCATATTGCAGTGTTGCGTATCAGGCAATTCCGATAACCACCCGATACGATATCATCGGGTAACATACTTTTATTACTTACTTGTTAGAGTGGAATGTTAGAAAAGACTCGATCAAGTGATGTTACTCAAAAAAGAGAATAGTCAACAATAAGAACTGACCCAATATAACGTGGGAGGAGCTTCTCTCAACCTAATTATATCAGAGATTGTAGATGTGTTTCAATAGAATCGGGTTCTCTTTTTTTGATTGATTGGACTGATTTCTGATATCAAATCAGGTTGAGATGATCCTGATATGCAGCCAAAGTTCTGCCAATGCCCTCCAGAAGAATTGACATCCTTGATAGATGGTTAAAAAAGGCATTAATATAAATGTGTGTCTTGCTGCAATAACACCTTCCAACACTGATCTTTATCTGTTAATATGAGTGAATCTGTACATTGAGATTCCTCAATAATCCATATATTCAACAAAATATTTTTTTCTGCTGTAAATTTTTAGCACTCAAAGAATTTAAAACTGATTGAAAAGTCTGACTTTTTACGCTATGTGTCTTATTTTAGAGCGTCCGATTCGAGATTAGACCCATTAAGCAAATCAGGCAGAATGCTTGACCTAATCACGCTGTCAGACGAAATGGCAAATCAGATCTCTGTAATCGCCAGCGCTTGTGCTGCTGCCCCTGGCTCTGGCTTTTGCGCATGCTTTTGCTCATTCTCCCGTGTTTTTCCCAGTAAAACATTGTCAGCCAGCGACACTACCACCGAGTATTTTTAACTTCTGTTTGGCCCAAGCTGCAACTGTAGTTGAGTGAAAATGCCAGTGGCCAGCCCGCTCTTTCTGTCGCACACTCTGCTTGTGAGGGGAAAGTGATCAGAGTGATAGTGACTTCCACCATGATAAAACTGGGTCAATGTAACCCCAACCCCCTCCACTGCAGGCAAGGCTGAAAGAGAGGGGTGGAAAAGAGATGAGGATACCGTCACCAGACTGCGCGAGGACTTAAACATGGAGACACCGGAGCGCGCTTTGCTTTCCCGATGGGTTGGTAACTGTGTTGTGTTGGGGTTGAACTCCCGTCCCCACAGTTGTTCTGACATGTTCCTTCCTCTCCCTGTAGTCTGTGGTTTATGGTGCATCTGTGTGATCTGCCCCTCTGTAGATTTATCTCTGCCCACTTTTGTTGCTGTCAGCCGGGGTCGTGCACTTCCAGGTCTTCCCAATGGTCTTCCATTCCCAAAAAGAGTCTTTTATTTTTTTTAAACTATGGTTGTGTTGAAATGAAAATCCACCCTATGGGAGGGAGGGGCTGTAGGTTGGGTAAAGTTTGCTTACGTCCATCCTAGTTGACTGAGAGTGGCCAGTCAACTAAACCAGTGGTTTCCAAACATTTCCTGCCCCCCCCACCCTATGGATTACAAATGGCTGTCTGGTTGAACGATGTCTGTGGCGGGGGGGGGGGACTTTTTTTGGGGCAAAATGAATGTACATAGCTGGACATAGACAACAACACCAGTAGCCTACAGGCTACTTGTTAAGCTAAAGGTTCTGTATTGATATTAGCTAGTCATCTTTAGCTAAATTACCTGCATCCAACAGCTTTACTCAACTCAGTCGGTTAGTTTGGAGGGAAAAACTGTGAAAAGTTCTTTGTGTTTTGCTGGTTTGCTGCCGTGATTCTAACACAAACCTACGTAGCTCCACAGCAGCAGCAGGTCTCCTTCACAGGTGGAAACACAGCGCGAGCGTCGTAGCGCTCATGTTGCGTTTAAAGGCGGCTCGGAAAAACAGGTTATGACACGTTAACAACGGATTAAACAGTTTTAACTGCTGATAAAAGTGACAGAGGACACAAATATGGGAAGTGTGGAAGAATCTACTGTATCAAATTGACATAGGAATAACAGAGAGTTGGCCATTCTAAGGTAAAAACCCAGCACACAGTGTTCATGTTTTTTTCTTGTTTTTTTTTTCATCCAGACGGCTTCCCACGCCACCCTCTGCAACGGCACGGGGGGGCGCGCCCCACAGTTTGGGAACCTCTGAACTAAACAAATTCTTGTTATGTTGACCACTAACCTCATGTGGAGGCTTTATGCGCACATCCAATTTTCCATGTTTAGCACCACTTAAAAACTGCGTTTTGGGCGGTTTTTAGGGTTTCTGTGTGGATGAAAACATTTCTGGAAAAGGCTCCATGCAGACATGAGCGTCTTTAAAACTGGCAACCAGTTTTAAGAAAGAAATGTTCCCATGTGGATAGAGCCCAAATCAGACAACTTTAGACAGTCAACATGCTACTAAATGTGTTCCACCCATTTCTAAGTGTCAAACTAACCATACAAGTAGTTTCAGTGAAAAGTTCGAGGTCCATTAGCATGCACTATTCACGGGGGGAAAGATTAGCATTACACATGTGGCTCACTAGCAAAGCTGAAACTACAGGTGGAGCAGAATGTGCTTGCATCTCCATTACTCTACTTGCATCAAGCAATAAAGACCGAACGCTCTAACACAATGGAGGAATCCTTAAATGTAACAGTTGAGTTCGTGTTCATTGAGAAAACCTCTGATCCTTTTCAACCAACACAGACTTGAACCTGATGCTAAGTTTAGCATGCTAACATCATCCTCGCTGACCAGTGCGGCCACCCACAGAGCCGTCTTGCTGGAGGAAATTGAGGCACTTCATCAAGCAAAGATGGAGGCTGATTATAATTACCCGTGTATGTATCAAGAGGGTGGATTTTCATTTTAATGGCAGTAATATTTCATCCTAATGTCTCACAGCAGCCTTATGACTGCACTGCAAAAAATGTTAATATCAAACTAATGTAACAAGTATAGCAACTCTATAGGTAGCATTAATCACAGAAGCAATTTAAGCTGCTATCGTGTTTATTTTGCACAACTGCTTGCATATGAAAAACACTCAGATAATCTTTTCTTGCAATAAAATGAAATGAAAAATTACTCCTTAGCTGCATTGTGTTGTTGTGTATGTGGGTTCCCTGTTTATACCGTGGCATGGACAAATGCTTGTTTCTGGCAGGCCCAAAGAAATTAGCTGGTTTGTTCTGTTTGCACCAAGGGCAGGATGAACCAATACCATAAATAGAGGCTGGAAGTTTTTCATTTCAGATGATCACAAGACTCTGCAGCTCTCAAGCAGCCTCTGAAGAAAAGAAATGCTCTAAGCTATAAGACATGAGTCACTTTCTTGTTTTCCTTTCGCAATGCAGACCAGAAACAACAAATGCAAATTGATTTTTCTTTTTTTATTTGCTTCAAGGTACACACGCTGACAAGCTATAGCTTATCCTTATTGTGTAATTATTTCATCCATAGCAAAATTTTTGGTTAAACATCTCAAAACAGGCATTTTGACATATTCTTCAGATTTAACATGTAAGTTTTCACCGATGCAGTGGTTCTCAATATTGTTTGCATCGGCAGGATTTTGTGGCATCAAAAAAGAAAACTGTAATAAATGATACATAAAAGAAAATTTTTTTTCTTTACAAATTAACTGGAGTACTGTGATATTTTCTTGAATTATAAAATAAAATGGCATAATAAAATAAGAAGTGTGCACAACCTTAAACAAAAGCTTTGTTGATGCACCTTTTGATTTAATTTTAGTCGAAATGAGTTTTTCCAATCACCCCATATCTGGACTGCGCAATATTTGCCAACTCTGCCTCGCAAAGCTTCTCCAAATCAGATTAGGATTAGAATCAGATTGTGAGGACATCACAACACCCTGACTCACAGCTTTCTTCAGGCGACCCCCACATATTTAGTCAGATTTCACTGAACCATTCCCCTGTGAAGCCGCTCTTTGGTTGAGTTGGATCTAGCAAAACCTGTTTTGTTTTTTTGTTTGTTTTTTTACATTTTTGAAAGCCACTGCGTTGTAGTGCTTTAGCTATTTTTTCCATGATTTGGCTTATTATTTCAAATGAATGCATCTTGTTAAGAATTGGGCCCCTCAGAGGGGATGAAGGTTGTTGCAGCTCATTTATCACAGCTTTTGGGATTTAGCTGTTAAGAACCCTCAGTGCCATCAGGATTAGCTGGGATTATGCATTGCCAACAGCAACCAGGTTAGCACCTTCAGATATGACAGGGGGAACAATTTAAACTGTAATTACAGACAAGCATTATTGTCCATGGCATAAGCAGGACCAGGCTGGGAGCTGCATGTTTGATATTACATAAACTGTAATATCCATCAAACATGCACTTGAAATGAACCTGGTTTTTGTTGGGAGGTTTCTCCTTTTGTTGATGCAAATGTGAATTTCTGCAAGGTCGAAACTAACATTTAACATCAGAGGTTGTTTATTTTAATAGTTATGCAAAAAAACAAACTGCTAGTCTCTTTCAAATACAAAACATATGAATTTGCTGTGAATATGTGTCACCACTTTTAAGAGTTAACAGTGCCTTGCAAAAGTATCAATGTCCTTAAGGTTTTTCACATTTTGTCACATTACAACCATAAACAATATGTATTGTACTTGATGTTACAGGCCAACACATTGTGGTGCATAATTATGAAGTGGAACAAAAATTAAACATGACCTTATTTTTTTTTTTACGTCTTCATTAAAAATCTGAACAGTGTGGTCATGATTTTTATTTTCCATCTTCTATTTTGATACTCCAAAAGTTCAGCTTGTGTCATTTAATCAATAATATGACTTCTGCTAATGGTTTAGATCAAATCATATTAATTCCTTATTCCTAGTCAAAGTCTAGACCTAAATCAACCAAGAATGTGTGGCAAGACTTCTTTCTGTTCACAAGCGATGAAAAGTCGAATGGAGGGAAAAAACCTCGGTTTCTACATTTGCAATATTACTTTTCCTCCACTTCAAAACTGTTCACAAGTTTGTGTTGGTCTTTTCCATCTAAAATACAATGTTTGTGATTGTAGCATTTTAAAATTTTAGAAGATTTTAAGGGCATCACTCTTGTACATTAGATTTCGAAGTCAAATATATTATTCCTTTTAATAAATAACTCCACATTTTTAGATATAACAGCAGTTTTGGGGGTTTGCTACAACTAGTGAAATGTAAAGTGCTTTTGCAATAATATTCCCCTGACTGATTTGATTCTGTCTTTCTTCTTTCTTTGGTCAGCTTTGCATAAACCCAGATGCCTCCCCTCCCTCTTGACGAGCGCATAGTGGTTATTCAGCGCCCCAAAAACGTGTGTGAGGCTTCCCCACAAACCATCCCACAGCATTCCTCTCAGATATCAGCCTCTACCAATGGACGGGCTTCCCAGCCTTCGCATCTCCACGCCTCTCATTCCCATTTTTACTCACCTGCGTGTAAATCTGTGAGTGTGGAATGCAAGCGCAGGTCATCCCGTGTGCAGAGATTCAAGGGCAACCAGCCTGCCATCCCAGCAGATGTCCTCCACATCCCGAGCCACTGCCATAGCAATGGCACAGTAACGCTTGCCCCACGGCTTCCCTCCCACACACATACTATTGATATCAAGGTATCAGTGGACAAAGGGAGACGGGGAGGATTAAGTAACTCATTAGGGCGCGCTGGAAGTGTAAAAGCCGGCAGAGGGAAATGCGTCTCTTCCCAGTTTGATCAAGCACAATGCGAGAGAAAAACCGGAAGCTTTGGGAGGCCCTGTGGATTCGAGCATAAGCCACAACAGGTCCGTCAGCTGTCGTCGTCCCCTGGAGGGATCCTCCAGTTTGTCCCTGCTCAGGCAAATCAGCATACATTCAGGGGTGAAAAAGAGAAAGAAAACTCCAGTTTTCATTACAGAGGTGACCAGGAATTTCCCTCTTTGGGTCACAGGAAAAGTTCCAAGCTGGGAACTGTTCATCAAAGCCATAATAGCCACAGTCTGCCCTACCACCACCACTCTGTTCCTGTTCCCCATGCTGCCATCCTAAACTCCACCTATCCTTCGTCTCCCCCATCCCAAACCACTCATGTCCCAGTCTCCTTTCAGCAGCTTAACCAACCTCACCCTCCTCGCACAAGGGATCACCGCCCTCACATTCTTCATGGTCTTCCGTTGTCCCCCTGCTCCTCCCGTGTCGGAGGGTTCCCTAGTCCAGACCACACTTGTACCATTGACTGTGCGCACCCATTCAACTGTGGCTGCTGGAGGTTGGTAAGATGCTCGGGATGTAAAGGAGACTCTTCCAGTTACCAAGGAGGTGGAGGAAGCACTTCTACCTCATTTTCCTGTGGCCACAATGTCGGCGCAGTGAAGAGAGGAAGTAAAGACATGGGCCTGAAGAATCTGGGTGGCTGCCTCTCCACCGCTTCCACATCAAACACTTCCTCATCTAACAGTACTGCTTCTGATTGTCGAGCAGCTCTGTTCAAACCTCTACCTTGTGCCTCCTGCGGCGGAGAGGCCGGAAACTTTGAGAGTCCTGCTATTCTTCGGAAGAAGCTAGTAGGAGGATGCCTTCCCTGTACTTCTCTGTCGTCTTCAACCCCTTTGCGGGCGATCCAAAGCTGTGTGTCTGGTTGCAACAACAAGGCATCTCAGACTGGCAGTTCTTCCTGCAGCTACTGCAGCAGCGACCCGATAGTGGTGACGTTCAACCCTCGCCGGGGAAAGCCTCCTGGAAGAGGCTTAGGACCGACTCACCCAATGGCTATGCTGCAAGCTGACGATGATGACTACAGCGTGCGCACCATCTGGCCTGAGGAACTGGCCAAGAAAATGACCCATTCCAAAGCCCAAAAGAATAACTACAATGGGAGGAGTGTTGGGAAAAGCTGTTCTAGCCAGACCCAGAATGGCAGTAACGGACCCGGCCTTGCCCTCTTGGACTGTCAGAACCTTCAGGAATACGCTCAGACTAATTTCACAGACCACGCTGGCCGACGACGGCTTCAGCAAGGCAAAATGGCTGCCCTTGGTTTTGTAGGCAGCAGGTTGGGATCTAGCTACGATGATGGCCGTAACTCGTTGAAGAGGCTCTTGAATAAAGCAGAAGATGTTGGAATGAGCGACAGTCCTGAGCATGGCCAAGTGTATCCGCGATCGCCCTCTCCCCGCTCCGTGTCTCCGCCATCACCCGTGTCCTTTTCCCCTCCCCCTTCGGCCCCCAGCACACTGATCAAACCCAAACCCTGGCAGAGAGAAAGGGAGGGAGGACACTCTCTGCCGTCGGCTCAGTCCCTTCACCTGGCCCTGAACTCCCTTAACAGAGAGCAAGATGAGGAGAACAACCGAAGTAAGACTAACTTACAGTCCACCCGAGTAGAGCAGGTTATGTCTCTTTATTAATGCTGAAAGTACAAAAATCTGGTAGTCTAAACACCAATAAGCTAACCCTACATTAGCTTATTGTAATATATTATTATATTAATATTGTAATATAAATATTACAATATTTTTGTAATATTTACAATACTTGAAACTATACATTTGAGAGCATTCAATAAAATTTCAAAGTAGCTACATAATGTTCGTGTTGCTAGCACGAAATTACACCCAACAATGAATGTCCAGCATGGCGTTCTTTTTTTAGCAGCGACCAGAAGTCGATATCCTTTTGTTTGAAGTTGAGTCTATTAGCCACTCTCGAAATGCCAATGCGCATCCACACTTTCCTTGTTGTTCCCCAGTGAGGCTGTCTTTGCCACTCTCCTCATCGCTGCCTGCCTCCCTGTCCGATGAGACTGTGATGACTCCCGATGCGGAGAACGCCGTCATTAGCCCAATCCTGCCCTTCCTGTTCCTGGGGAACGAGAGAGACGCCCAGGACCTGGACCTGCTGCTGCGCCTCAACATTGGCTACGTGGTAAATGTGACCACACACCTGCCCCTCTACCACACCAACGCGGGGCTGCGCTACAAAAGGCTCCCAGCCACTGACAACAGCAAGCAAAACCTTCGCCAGTACTTTGAGGAGGTTTTTGAGTTTATTGGTGAGAATTCAGCTTTTATAACCTGAATGTTTTGTTGTGCGTGTCTGTGTCTATGTGGTGTAAGCGTTGTGTTTGGATTGGGGAATTAGCTCATTTGCAGGTCTGCTAGCATTTAGGTGAAGGTTTGCTATCAGTTTCCAGTGTAAAGTTAAGTAAAACTAAAATAGGAACTAGGAAATGTTTGACTCTCATTGTAGTTGGTTAGGGTTAAAGAAATTACCATTTCTGTTTTTAGAGCTTTCCCTTTTTCTATAATAATGGTTTCTACATTTCCATTATAGTCCTGTTTTCAAAAATTAGCAGGGAACCTTTCTGGGGATCCCACACATGCTGGACACAAACTGTTAAGACTTTTACCTTCAAGTCATCGCTAGAGAAAAACACAGAGATTGGTTGTCTCTCTGATGAACATTAACACAGTCCCCAGAACAATACCTGGCTATAATGAAATGTGATGTCATTATCATGATCAAAGTGCTTAATGAAAAGCAACTTAAAATCAAGGTAGATAAAGGAAAGCAGTAACTTAATTTAGCAGTCAGTGGCAGTTTTGTCGCCAAATAAAATCAGTTTTGTTTTTTGTTTGGGAATGTTGTGGATTATTTAATTCTGGTCTTAATGGTAAATAAATCTGCAAATCATCTGCATAACAAGGAAATTTAACATTGTGCTGCGTTATGATTGATCCAAGTGTCAACATGTGTAAGGGAAAAAAAGCAGAGGTTCTAACATAGAACCTTGTGGCACCCCACACAAAAGAGAAGAAGATAAAGAGGGGGAACAAATGAGCTTGACGGAAAAGATTTTCTAAATCAGGTAAGCGGTAAACCACTTCAAGACTGTCCATTGGATACCAACACGGTCATGCAGGCGAGACGAGTACAGAGCAAAGGCTGCTGTAAGGTCCAGCTGATCTATCTTTACAAATCCTGGAGGTGCCCAGACAAAGAACTGTGTGCGTTTGTGGTTTCATACTCCAAAATGCACCACTTATAAGCAAAGAGACACTCTGTATTCTTGGTATATTTCTACTTTAATGTCAAAATTACAGTGAAAAACGTTACGTTTCACATACTAAAGCAAACATTGACCAATTTGTTGTTCTCATCCCCAGAGGAGGCATATCAGAGTGGACAGGGCGTGTTGGTTCACTGCCAGGCAGGTGTGTCCCGTTCTGCAACCATCGTCATCGCCTACCTTATGAAGCACACCCTCATGACCATGACGGACGCCTACAAGTACGTGCGGAGCCGTCGGCCCGTGGTGTCGCCCAACCTGAACTTCATGGGTCAGCTCTTGGAGTTTGAGAGGGACCTCAACTCCGGGGTGACTCCTCGGATCTTGATGCCTAAACTAAATGGTGTGGAGACGCAGGTTTGAAGGGGGAAGGGGATCGACGGTCAGGACTGTGTAGCATTAAAGGGGCGTTAAAAAGAAAAAGAGTGCAGCACATTTTTTAGAGCGACAGGTCGAGAGAGAATCTTGGCGGGTTTGGCAAATAGTGCACTTTCAATACTGTGAAACACGAGACAGAGGACTGGGCGGTTCATTTGTTTCATTGTTAGACAATTTGATCCCCATCCAGCGTACTGTTCATAAGATAACGTGCCAATATTTTGTACAGCTCCGACATAATTCAGATATCTTTTTTTAAAATCTAATACCTCTTCCTTTTTGTTCCTGTTTACAGTCAACGTTCATGCAGGAGGAGCGACTTTCTTGCCCGAAATCATAAATGCATGCAGAACCTGAATGCACCATGGAAAGGGTTCTTTGTTAATCATTCATCTACAACAGCTCTTTACTACTTTCCACCACATGTAGCAGCGCGATGCACTTTACTGCCCATTCATTTGTTATCAGAGATGAGATAGGACCTCAGTTACTGTTTTTAAACCATTTGCTTTCATTTAATCAGTTTCATTGTTTCTTTCAGTTTGAACTGTGGAACAGTGAGGTGTGGACCTAGAAAGTAAAGCTTTTTTGTTTGTTTGTTTTGTTTTTTGCCATTTTGGTGGTTAAATCTTGCAGACTCGTTTAAATGGTGCATTAACATGCAATGTCAATGCGAACAATTAGAAATGCAGGTTTTACAATTGTATAAAAGCATTTATTCCACTACATGAGCATTTCCTAGCAAACAGCTCAGCAGATGGTGGGTTCCTGCTGTTGCAGTGTGCTTTTAAATCTTCTCAAAGAGTGAAAACTGATTTTGTTTTTCTTTCTATGTTAAGTTGTATTTCTGTGTTTCCTGCTTAACAAAAAGTAGTTTAATATGTAGCATGAAACAGACCTGCAGTTTTTTTCTAGAAATCAAGAGAGCACATGGGTGACACTTAAGGTCCTGCAAAGCTGTTTCGGTCATAAAATTGTTTCTGCATTTAAAAAAAAAACAAAATAATAATAATAATAATAATAATAATAACAATAACAATAATAATAATAATAGTCCGCCCGCTGCAGTTTGTTATTCACTGAACGGAGCCCATTTGAAGTAGCACAGTGTTGTTTAAAAACCTTCAAATCTATTTGTTTTTATTGCAGTAGCATAGTTTCACACTGAAACATCTGTTGTGCCCGATAAAGCTCAAGTAAGGTTTAGCAATCCCAACATTTTGCCAGTACCTGTCCCAAACAGCCTGTTTGCATCCAGATGATGATGATGATGATGATGAAATCATTACTGATTCCTAACCAGGTGATCTAAAAAAAAAATAAAAAAAAACTCCTAAAAATGAAAGAACTACTTACAAAAGGCTTCAAGTCACATTTATGCTAAACGTGTTTTTAGAGGTACTAACTGCTTTAAAACCAATGATTTCTTAATATGGGACTAAAATATATTCACAATGTTTCATACATATTTTCTTTGTCAGAAATTGCTACTGTAATAAAAGCTGAATATTTTTGGGCTTTTTTACATGACAGTGGATGTGGATGCCGATGCATTTTAAGTTATTTGCAGCCTTGAAGCCAAAAATCTTCGAATTACTTTCACACCATTAACCATTATCAGTCCTAATATTATTATTATTATTATTATTATTATTCCTGAGCTCGACTCATTTGGCTCGCTGACCTTCTCCATTACTATGCATTATCTTGATAACAAGGTCTTTGGTTTGGTTTGAAAATGTTTCTTGATTCACTGTGAACTATTTTCCAGAGTGGTTCAGACTCCGTGAAAGAGAGAATATAATCTGTTACAGGAGGATTACATTCAATTTAATTAGCTCATTATAACTCAATAAAATAAAAATAAAAAAAAGGTTATTCAACAGTAGATGATGAATTGAAGTGCTGTTACTTCCAACGGATCTTCAGCTAGCAGAACTTAAAACATTGTGTTTAACTGGATGTAATGTCTTTAAATCTGTTGGAGCGGATTTTTCTACAATAAGATCATATTTATATTTTTAACAGCAGTGCATACAGAACATTGCCTTGCAAAAGTATTCATTTAATTCGAGATTCTAATGTTTGTTGCAGGATTTTTATTAAACACACCAGTGTTGCTCTGCTTTTTTTAATTTGGAGGCATCAGAGTTGAGGGGGCTAAACACAGTTATAGGACGCACTCTTCAGATTTTTTTTTTCTTAATCCATCCAATAAAAACCTAATTGAGGTTTATGGATGTGTGAGCAAATGTAGGGTATGAATACTTGCAAGGCGTTGTAATTTGGTCCAAACTTTCACTGGAAGTGAACTCAGTTATTGATGCTCGTCCTGACAAACTTAAAAGCGGCAGCTTTTGGTTTTGTTGACGGCTGCGGAGGGCAAAGTCTGCAGGTTTTTGACATATTTCTTGACAAACGACTTGAAGGTCCAAACGGTAGCAAAATATGTGTATGCGACCGATCAAAGAGCCGTACTACACCAGAATCCTCTGCTTTTCTCAAGTATTCCACTCCGACTGCAGTTGACCCTTTTCTTTCTCGAGCTGTGATTAACGTGAGGTCTGGCTCCAGTTGTCTGAAAAAACCAAAATGCCTTTAGTTTGTGTAAACTGGTACACAGCTGCTGTGGAAACTGGGTGAAAAAATCCCAAATTTTACTTGGTGGATTTATTTTCGGACTGATCGACTTTGTTATAGTTCTTATATTTTTCTACAGCCATACTTCTTTTCTTTCTTTTTCTTTTTTTGTTATATTACATGCATTTTATTTATAATTTTTTTAAACACGAAGGTCTAGATGGACAGAATGACTCCCTCCAACTCTGCCATGACAGTTTGGATGTTGGCGAATGAGGGTCAACATGGCGCTCTCGTGTTTTGGTGATTTTTTTTTTTTTTTTTTTTTTTAACGTCTCGCCTTCTTTCAGCTGGAGAAACATCAGCCTGACCACTCCTCCTCCCGTCTCTGCAGCTCAGCTCACCTTGAAAAGAGAAATAGAGAGAGAGAGAGAGGCGGCTCACTCGCTCGCTTGCTGTTGTTACCAGATTTTTTTGTATGAACTCTATATGCAAAATGGCTGCCGAAGCGATTACTTTAATGTCACACTGTGTGAATTTGCTGCACAGCGGGGTCGTTGCTGACCTCAAGAGAGACTCTCTGGAGGAAATTCTTTAATTTATGGGAACTGAAGGGCCTCTTTTTGTGAGTGTGTGAGTGTCTATGTGTATGTTCAGATTTTCTGTTTGTTTCTCTTGGAGACACACACAAAAAAAAACTGGGTTATTTCTTGCTGTGCATCTGGGAACGTTGTATACCTTCACTTACTTCGGGGAACTCCAGTTATTCCTGTTTTGAAAGCTTACTTTCAAACTTTGTGGAATAGTTTTCTGTACCAAATTCTGAATTTGAGGTCATTAATGGTTCAGCTGACGAAGAGAAATCAAAGTAGAGCACCACCCTTCCTCCATCCTGATGGGGGGGCAAGAACTCTTCTTCAGGTACGACGTCGTCATAGTAACGCTGTGCTGTTTCCCCATCCCGCCTCCAACCAGAGACCCAGAAACTCATGTAAACTTCCCTCTAGCGCTGCCTCCTCCTTCTCTTTCCGCCCCTTTTTTTCTTAATGGATTGTTCCTCTTTAACCAATTGTAATATTTTTCATATTGTAGCATCTGGTCCTTGTATTTAGGCAGTTTCTTTTACCTCCATGTACCGCCTATACTCTTCATAATCCTTCTGAGGTGCACTGTGACAAACACGATGCTGCTATATCAAAAGACTGAGTATGTTGGTCACGTTTAAGCAGATGGGCTGGTGACGGGGAGCCCCTGCTTGATTTGTTTCAATTGGAATCCATATGCTGCCGCTAACGTTTTCCAGCTTGAAATGCACAAACGCGGGATCTGTAGCTGTCCATGGTGGTCTTCCTCTGCGAGTATTATAGAAAAGAAAGCAAAGTGTCTTTGCTGTGTTGCTTTCTTTTCTGCAGCACTAGTGATTCTGGCCAATATTCTCTCTAACCGGTGATGGATTTATGACTGAATCTCCTCGCTAAGCCCAACATTGCAGTACAATTATTAGATTTTTAATACAATTCATTTTGTTTTAATATATAGGCATTCAAATACTGTTGAGCCATTCATGCAGATACTGAGATTTTGAGATTTGTATGACATGTTGCAAAGGATAATAAAGATGCAGATGTGTGTGTGTGCTGTGGCGTCCCATCTGTTCATTGATTTAACGTTTATCGATTTGTTTTGTCGTCAGACATGTGCTTCCAGGTTTTAGATACACTTGGCACGAATTGGCCTCCGATGGAAGAGTTAATTTCTAACTTGATATGAGAGAGAATCGAAAACACTGATGTTGATGGAAGGAATAAGTCCCATTAATGTCTGTGTCAATTTTAAAAACAAGAGTTGCACTAGAGTGCTGTACAGCAAAAAACAGCAACAAAATCAATGAGAAAAATTATAAACTAAAAACAAAGTTACCCATAAAAATTATGGACATAAATTGGGGCCATAAGTGTGCTAAAAAAATTGTTTTGAAGCTAAAACAAAATTTTCTAACAGAAAAACAATAAATAAAGTGGTTTTGAACAAAAAAGTTCAGATTCAAGGATTTCTTTTTCCTGTTCCAAAAAGAAACCTTTTTTTGTTTAGCAAACTTTATGGCCCCTATTTAGCTCCATATAGAGGAGCTTCACATGTTAGAAGTTCAGTAGCTGACAAGCAGTGATCCAAGTGGACTTTAAACACCTTTCAGTCAAATACGACTTAAACTATATGGGTTATGTTTGGTTCTGGCTGATTTTACTTAGAGATATCGGGTTAAAGAGCGCTAAATATAAAAGTAAAGCACAACTTTCAGATTCCTTCTGCTTAAAGCACTACCCTGATCGGTCAATCACATAAAATGCCCAATGCGGCTTGAACATAACATAAAATAAAGCTGTCTGAGGTTCTGATACTGGCATGGAGTCTGTCACTCCTCTGAAAGCTCCTCTGAGCTAAAACATGCAATGAACCCGACGGGCTGGCACTATCAACAGATCACCAGCACCCTATGAATGAAGCCAGTAGTGTCTATTTGGAAAGTATCGAGTCTTTACGTTTCTGTCGATGCAAATGGACGATTGCGGCCGATGATTCGAATGATCGTCTGCTTCGCTCATCACCGTTACGTCAGAACGGTTTGCGACTGACAACAGCGTGCTGCGGCAGCCGCAGGGCAGATCGATCGGAGCGGCAGAGAGGTTGAAACAAGCCCAGCATCCGACTGATGTAACTTCCTCAAACAAGCTCTACTGCACCGACTCTGTGAGAACTAGAGTGTTATCTAAAATACACGTTAATGTCTTGTTGGTTTTAGGCTTTGATGCTTTTGACCCAGGGTGGAATCATGACACATCATATTAGTATGATGTCAAAAATGTACACTCCACTTATTATTTGGATTTTTTTTTAATCTGTGATAACACTGAATCTTCACTTCAGTGCAATCTGAATACTGAGCAAGCACAGACTGACGGTGGAGAGGATCAAGAGGATGAAACAGAGGAATTAACCAAATAACAAAATTAAGACGATCCTTTAAGTATGCTATTGTTTTTGCATTGAGTGCACACTTACTGAGCCTTGTGAAATATTCACAAACACAAAACCTTTTCACATCATGTCACATTACAACCACGAGCTTCACTACTTTATTAGGATTTTATGTGGTAGATGAGCACAAGCACATTAATTATTGTGAAGAAGAAGAAGGAAACTGAGACTTGCTTTTTCAAACATTTTCTTTTTGTACATGCCAAATTCTCAGAAGCAGCATACTGACAAAAGCCATATTTCATAGAAATTCACAAAAAGATCTGTCTGCAGTTTGCCGCAAGACACGTAGGGGACAGATGGAAAAAGGTGCTCTGCACTGAGACCAACACGGATCGTTTGGTCTTCGTGTTGAACACTTTGAGTGGCGGGAAAGTTACATGTCACATCACCATGAACATGTCAATTCAAATAATAATAATAAAATATTTATTGATCCCAAAGTGAATTAAATGTTGGTGTAAGTCATATTCATTCAAATTCTTCAAAAAGTTATGAAATGCTTTTTTTCTTAGAGCGAGCTTGGTGCACTTGGGGGCCCCCTGGTGGTGTGGGGAATCTAAGCAGTCGCTTAACTCATAATGCCTCAGGCGGGCTCTGGGACTTAATACTTAACATATTTATTTTTACAGCTTTTGCCATCATTTTTAAGGAATTTTATCTAGGTATTGTTAGATATATCTGACATAAAGATCAAAAAGCAACTGGAAGTAGTTAATGGGAGCTCATCAGTCATTGGTGCATTATAGTATATGACTCAGTGGCCATTACAGTTACTGTGTGACTGTGTCCAACAGGTCATGTTGGACGATGCACAAATATCCAGTCTCATAATGTGTAATTTACTCCAACACTGATAATTCACCAATCTTCACAATTACAATTACTGTTAATCTTGAAACACGTTCAGCCTTGAGGTGTCTGAGTCCAGTTACAGAATTGACTCCCCAAATGGGTTCAAATGAAAACCTTTTGCCGTCAAAGCAGTCAACGTGAATGACGAGGTGGAGACAGCGGTTCGGTAAATTAAAAATCAAAACTTCAGACTTCTAAGAAGCACATTCTGCACGTTTTATTATAGATTGCGCTGCGTTTCGGAGGGCTCACCTATTAAGTGTATCTCTGACATATCTGCACATCAGTTCTGCAGGATTATCAGCTTTTCCTGACTCTCATTCTGCTTGTTCCGCAGGCTGTAGTTGATTTTCTGAGTAAAGTGCATGAAATCAATGTTCAGTAAATCCAGATTTCTCAGTCGTAAGTGTCTCCGGACTCAAAGGTCCCTATGTGCTGCTACGGTAATTAAGTGTAACTTAATTAGGATATGTTAATTAAGTGTTTAACTCTCACATGGCACATTAGGTAGCTCGGATAAATGCACAGAGTAAGAAGTACAGCCGAGTGTGATATGTTGGTAACGTTTACATGCCTGAAGAAATGTCTGTATTCCCTTCGTCTGCTACTCATAATAACAACAGAATTTAAAAAAAAAAAAGAAACATAATCAGAACTGTGGTAATTGATTGCCAACCTTAGCCAAAACTGGGGAGCACAGGCGCCACCTCAGGTGATGGGTCGATTTATAGAGCTTGTCTCTGGGGATTATGCTCAGGAGTCAATCAAGCCTGCCAGCAGATGGAGTCCTGCAACTGCAGCCATTGACACCCTCTGCTCTGTTCTGCTTAAGTTAACCAGCAACAAGGAGAGTAACGAGATAAGTGCTCTAATTATTCAAATAAAATCATCCATGTGTAACCTTTAAGTTAAATCTGATGCCGGAACCTAAAAACAAACAGGAATGTTTCTGGTGTATGTGGACATATTTTAGCAGCAAACGCTCAATCGTCTTTATGTTTTAGGATTGATCAAGATTAGAGCATCAAGGGGAAACTGACTGGATGGCCAGAGAGCTTTCAATGTTGATTAAAAAAATTGAGTGGGCCTGACTATTTAGGACTTTAAAAGTGGGAAATAAAATTTGTATTTGTGTTTCATTAGTTGAAAGGAGCAACAAACAACTAATTGGCAGATGTTTACATTATGCCTTGTAGTTTTAGAAGATGTTAAAAGATATTTTTTTTAATATTGCTGGTTGTTTTCCAAAAACAATCACATAAGAACTGCTGCATAATCATATTTTCTCTTTTAATAAGTTGTTACACCAGATTTCTTTCATGCTGTCAAAGTAAAACAGGTTGAATACAAAATTAAAATGAAGCATTTCTGATTTGTAAACAGTTTGAAAACCCTGTATCGACTTCCTTCCACTTATTTTTGAGCTATTCTGTGTTGGTCTATTTTTGTTCGGAAGGTGCTAAAAGGCTAGGCTATAGCATCTTTTGAAACTGGACTGCAATATAATAAGTTGTCTATACCTTTCCCCTTTACACCACTGACAATTTACGGCAGGCATCAATAGCAAACGGAACACAGAGACGATAAAAAAGGAGGAGATATCCCTCCGCCGGAAAACCGGAGTGCGGGTCGGGATCACTGCGCCATTAAAGAAGAGGAAACAAAGATGGCGTCGAACATTTTTCGGAAGGAAAAGAATGTGGTATTTTCGTCTCCCAGGCTTTTCCTGTCGGCTTTGCTGTTGTGTAAAATGTATAGCGAATTATTTATTGAACAATCTAGTCCAGATGCATTCAAGTACATTTATTTAACATCGACAAAGAAGCGAAGCGTATCGACGTGTGCCTGTGGACATCTTTGCTCTACAGGGTGTTTGGTCTGAGAGCATCCTGAAAACATACACCTGCTCTGACGTTTCATTTATTCTTCGTCCATCGCCCTCATATGGCAAAAGGGAAACAAAACGATTTTATTTTGTTTCCAGATGGGGCTAATTTAAAGAACGCAGAAAACCTACGAATCTTTAACATGATTGCAAGCCACTAAACCAGACTGCAGCAGTCCCCATGGCAACGGAGGAGAGGGTGGGCATCACAAATCTCTCAGGAGCACAATACCAATCAGGTCTGTGGAGAGGGGTGGGGGAGGGGGGGCTCATTTCATACAATAATTTATTTTGTAAAAAAAATAAAAAACAATAAAAAATAAAAATAAAAAATATAATCACCTCTGATATTTATTTGAATATTATAATCTGAGAGAATCCAGCACACGGATATGGTGCAGTCCACCCACATAGGAGAACCACCACCGGTGGCATACAAACCCCCCCTCACCCGCACCTCCCTCCATCTGGTAGCTACCATTCACGGCTGAGGGGTGGAGAGGAGAGGGGGGGTGATCCCATCCATCCATCCACCACAAATCTAGTGCTCACTGTGGCAGAATTGCAGTGCACTGGACTGTACAGAGTAGGGTGCCATCCAAGGCTGGTAGTCTGTGAGGGGTGGGGTTCGGCTACACTGATACCACCAAAGAACAGAAGCTGACAGAGGAAGAACACGGAGAGGCGGAAAAAGACAGGCGAACATAAAGAGAGAGAGCGAGAGAGAGAAGAGGGGGGAAGATTTCACCTGAAGAGGAATATCATACGGGTAAGGAGGGAAAAAAGGGGGGATGGTGGGAAGGAGAGGGGAGAAGACAATGAGGAAAGGTCCAGAATAAATGAAGCAGATTCGCTCTTTTCTCTGCTCTGCTTTTATTTTCTGTTCCCTGTTCGTAACCCATCTGACTTGATCTCTTTTTTTTTTTTTTTTTTTTTTATTTCGTACAAAGTCCTCGTCTCGTACTTGTCTTCATGGCTTCAGTCATCTGCTCCTGGCATTTCGTCTCTCTACGGCTTTTCCTGCACAGACTGGAGGGGGAGAAATAGTGGGCCATGTCGAATAGACTTGCCCACTTGGCCCACTTTATGCTCCTTTTGCCTTATCAAAGAAAGACGCTGCCTTTTGTCACTAAAAAATATCATAACAAATCAGCCGTGATGAGTTTGTGACACAATACTGACAGATACTCAGACTTCTGGATAAGTGACAGTCAGGCTTGAAGCTCGCTTTGCAACCAGAGCCATTTAGCTCCACTGTCTCTTATCGCCAGCTACATAGTCGTGCATCGCTGTGTATTCGGCTCGAAAGCGAGCAGCAGGGCACTAACGAGACTAATGTATGGAGCCAAACCACAAATGTTGCTGTTTCTGTGGCCAGGATGAAAGGAGACACCCCAGTGAACAGCACCATGAGTGTCGGCCAGGCCAGGAAGCTGGTGGAGCAGCTGAAGATCGAGGCTAGTTTCTGCAGGATAAAGGTAAAATCACCTGCTACCCACACATATGCAGTGTTGTGAAAGGCAGCATATATATATATATATATATATATATATATATATATATATATATATATATATATATATATATATATATATATATATATAT